GAAATTGTCTGCACGAAATCTGCGTTAATGTTTAGCAATGCATTTGCGTTGCTTATCTACTACTGTTTGTAATTAATTTGCCTGCTTTAAAATTCTGAGCTATTAAGGACTAAATATCTCTAACTGAAAGGCTTAAAATGTTATTCACCATAATTCTCGATTTTGATCAACAACTACCTCCTAATGACGGCCTATACTGACTGTTCAACTTATGTTTTGAGTCCGACGAAGTACTAATAGGCTAAAATTTAGCATTAATATGTTAACAAAGGGTAACACTGAGAGATTTTTATTTTGGTCATTTGTATTGTATTCATTTAATTTGAAATATGGAGCCCTCATATACCAAGAAGAAAACGGATCCATTTACACTGTCTTGGTCAAAAGATCAGAGATATTAGCCTCGATTGCTATGTAGAAGTTAGATATTTCTTTATTAGCCTTCAACAAGCTGTCTTGTTACATAACCCACCAGGTGGTTTACACCTGAATATAATTACTATCTGAGTTGTTTGATCAAATTTGCTGTCGATTCACTACATTTCAGCACTGTTTTATTTAAAAAGGGCGTTTTTCTTTTAGGAAGTCCTGAATACAGTTCGACTTTTTATTAATCTCTGTCCTCGCTGTTTAGCCGTATTAGTGTTCTGACACCTCGGGAAATCGGATTCCTACTCGAAATTTTGTTTAAAATAGGATGTGAGCTCCTAAATGCGCTTGGGTTATAATCTGAAATCTCATATTTTTTACGAATACTAAAACGGATGTAAAATTAATTAAATCATCATCGATTTCGTGTTTAAATGTGACCAACAAGAACCTACCCAGTATTGAAATTTTTCAGATAATGCGCAGAAGTGATACAGCCATAAACCGAATCAAGTACATCTAGATTTTCAAAAGTACCTTTTCGTATTGGTGTAACAGATGAATATTACGGAAACTTATAAGTTTGCGAAATCATTAGGCAATCAATTGCTTCAAAAATCATCAAAACCTTAATACGTTTGCTGCAGAAATATTAACTCGAACACAATCAATAACGCAATCATTATACTCTATTAATCGAATTATAATCAAAGTACTGGAAAAGCTGGTTCTTGAGGTACAGTAACTAACGGAAGAGAATAGACAGAGGAGGAGATGGTGAAAGACGACTGGAAGGAAATTGCGCAACTCGACGCACGATCCCCAATAAACAAGTACGGTTTGTCATGGTAGATTTTGTGTTCTCGTCATATTTACAATTGGGGACAGCGGAATGATGACGAAGCAATCAACCTGAAATAACAAATTAAAATGCCTTAAAGTTATAGGATCGTGTGTATTGTAAATAACCGCGATTCACGAACACTAGGCACTAAATTGTGCTTGACACTTCCCATCCTTCGTAGAAAGACTCGTAAAGCAGTAAAGCTCTGGATTCTTCCATTGCAGAGGTCAGTTCAATAACTACATGACTCACAAGGAAGACCATGAAACGAATGACTTAAAAAACTCCAAAATATCAATCGGCTGGGACGGCAGACGTTTGTAGTCAGCGAAAAATGGTCTCTCTCTCTCTCTCTGAGGCCTGATGCACTTAAAATCGCTGTTTTTTTATTAACACGTGTTGCTTGAAATTTACATCCAATCACTTCCGGAGGAGAGCTTCATGCCGATGCCACGGAGCTACCGTGGTTGATAACAACCCACAGACATTGACTAGTTCAAGATGATGGGTGCCTAGGAGCCCGCCCATCGGTATCGACAGCTACTTTGAATGTTTGTATAATCTGTCCTGTATCGGCACCTCGACAATACAAATAACCAAGAACGACACTTTGGTGGCCCTCTTCCAGATATTGTCGAAAGTAGCTGCGAGAAATACGAGGGCATCATCAAGTTTAAAACTGGGGTGGTTGCACCTCTGCAGGACGTTTATGGGCCGATAACATGTAAAAATGTGCTTTTAACACGTAAACACTCATAGTGAGTCGTGTTGATTCATCTCCAGCCGCCACACTGTCCCCTCTTCACAGCGCGCCTATCAGCGATGCACTACCGTCTGTATTTACATTCATGTGCAAGCACCCCCACCCCCCAGGTTTGCAGTTCCTTCACCTGGCCGTTTTACAAGTTCACCCAAACTATATCGGCCAACAACCACTGTAGTCATGCGCTACACTTGAATACACACACACGACGTCACAACTAGGTTGGGCTACCTACTAAACGGTTGTCTCCACCACCTCGGACTTCCTTGGTCTTTTCAGGTGACTGTCAAATCGGGCCAAAAAAACAACACAGTGCAATCGGAGTGATTCAAAGCCATGTCGTGAGGCAGCCTTTCGGACATTTGATTGCGGGTTCGAACGCAAACTCAGACACCAACATACTCCACTCAGAACTCATTAGGGGGCGGTTCTTCTGACTGGGTTATTGGGAGATTGTGAGTGGGGGGTTAACCAAACAGAGTCCGACGAACCTTCATTGTTAATCGTAGCCGTTTTCAGTAGCCTCATTGCACCGGAAGTACTTGGCGGCAGAGATGCAGAAGAATTTCTCAAGAAAGACCTCAGAGTCAAGCACAGCGACGTGCGCCGCACGGCCAATGAAGTGGTTCGCCGAGCTCTGGACCTCATGGTGGACATCGTAGCGCACCACCGTGGTCTTTCCGCTTTTGATCAACTTCTGGAGGATGTTAGCCACCATCTCCATGTAGATCGTGCCTGGTAAAAGAACGCGACCCGTTAAAACCTGAAGCCACCTCATTCAGACTGCAGATGACAAAGAGGAGACCATAGTAAATATTGCCACGAGAAAAACAAAGACATATAGCTCAAAAAGAGATTTGACGTTGTGCAGGACATGTACAATGAAGGTTCTGTCCAAAAAAACGATAGAAACCTATGTTTGAGACAAAACTGAACGTGAGAGCAGGTGGTTGGATGGCAGGGTAGAATGCAAAGGTGCCAAGACCTACCCATTTCGGTGGGGTCCTGTATAGAGGCCTTGCAAAGTTCGATCCGACTGGAGTGATGAGGCACGTAGTGGTCCTGAGGACTGGCGACCAACAGGACATACCGGAAGCGGTTCATGCCCTCCGCCGCACTCAGCGTGTACATGAAGGTCTCCCTTAGGTCCGGGTGGTCCCTCATGCGCAGTTGAAGGAGGCTTTCAGACTTCTTGAACTTCTGCAACGCCCACATGCCCATGCTGACGAGACCCGAGGTGCTGTAGACGGTGCCCAGGTGGGGACCGCAGAACGAAAGGAAGGTGTGAAGCCGGGGGTAGAGGTGCTCCATGCGGGGACTCGACAGGGCTGCACGGATCAACACACAGCCCAGACTGTGGCCGATGAAGCTAACGGGAAATGAGGTGACACGCATTTAGATCGTGCAACGTTCGCAGCTGCTATAAACTGCTACACCACTAACGTGATTTGGCTGACACGTAGTCAAGCGAAAGCGAGGGAAGTTCAAGTAAACTTACGAGCAAACAAACATTACCGACACGTGTAGATAACGCACACATACACAGACGCAACTGCCCGTATTAGCAATCGTAAGCTCAATTTCCATTTCACTCACAGCAATGCCCCGAAACAAGGATCCTGAAGCAAGCGCTGGCAGGCGAATCAGGTGTTTGTTGCCTATGATGAGCATGGTGCCCGGTCGCATTACAGCCTTGGGGCACTGTGGAGCAGAGTACAAGCGGGCAGGGTGGTTGTAGTGCACCTACGGTAACACGCCGAATCAAAATTAATCTAACACGTGGTGGCGTAGCGCATAACCTTGACAGGCACTTTGAAAGCCTAAGTCGACGCAGAGAGTAGCTTTAACACAACACGCTGCTATTGTCTGCAAACTGCGCCACAGTAGACGTGCCCGCATGATTTTAATGCCATCGCATTTTGCGTATTTGAAGCTCATTGAAGGTGACATGCCTATCAATAATGGTGCTTTCGCAAGGGTTGAGCGAGTTCAACTGGCAAGAAACGGCCGATTCGCAGAGTTATAAAACAGGTCCTGGAAATCCAAATACACGAGATCACATAACTCGATTTGCATACGCTATCTTAGCAAATAATTAGCACTAACAATTACACTAAATTAAGTGCACGAATCATGCTGGACCTAAAGTGCATGATAAAGTGACCACGCGGTTTGAGGGTTGCTGCTGGTTTGGAAAAACGCTTGTGGATGCAAGCAAAAGACGAAGTTGACGAAAGCACAAGCTACATTAGACAAATGTAATTACCAATCCTGTTTAGGGAAGGGGGGATTTAAAAGCAGTTCAAAGTAGGAAGGACAGCGGATATTTGGCGTGATGTTAACACGAACTGATGTAACGTTGATACACTCAATGGTCAGTGTTTGGACGAACGCCCTCACAAGTGCTATGCAAATTGGCTGCCAGTGGACGCGCACGAGTAGAGTCTTGTTTGAACACGCGTGTCTTAAGATGAGTGGCACTTGCCACGCACCCTGAACCCTTTTCACAAGTGCCTGATAAACACACGCATACCGGGACCGGCACCCCCCCCCCCGCGACGACGTTCATTTAGTCATCGTTTTCAGGCGGTACATGTGGCCGATTGCTAAGACTATAAGGTGGTGTAACATCGCTAAATTAGGCGACCCCGAGACCACACTGTCTAAGAAACAAATGCGGGCCCCACTCATACCTTATGTGGGTTGGCGTCTCCGTCATGGAGTCCACATGCTGAATGATCTCCTCAACTAGATTATCCCGGAGTTGCTCGAATGACGCAAAAGTGTCCTGATGGTTGCTGTCCGACATCAGAAACTCCAGAGGGTAATCAGGCAGTGCCATCTGTAGATATACCGTCACCAGTCGAAGGTCATAACAATTGCCTGGAGGGAGTCAAATAAAAAAAATAATGTAAAAAAATCCATTCACAATTTCTACTAATACACATAGTTCCTTTGCCAGATCACAAGAATGCTTTACATCTTCGACGAATATCTAGGGGCCTGGTGACTTTGGAAACTGAAGTAAACCGAGACCCTGAACGAATCTGGCTTTCCTCGAGGTCACACACACCTCGGTGTCATCTACTGCAGAGATTATCAGTTGAGATCAGGTACGGTCAGCAATAACAAATGTCACGCTATTCTTCACTATTCTGCTGTTTTAATTCTGATTCCCGCTGAACGCCATGTCCAATTGGCTTACGCAGTTAGCCCCCATTTTGATGTTTACACGTTCACAACTTAGCAATTGTTGGGTCGTTTTATTTTACCGTTTAGGAGAACCCGTATGCGTTGTTGGACGTTCGAGATCGTTTTTTTGTTATTCTTCAACTCTTCGGTTAGCGTTCCCGATAATTCCGAAACCGACGGTTAGCTGGAGCAAGGAATACTTGCTTCACCCCAACAAACAAGTACAGTCCTTCAGAAACTGAAGTTACTTGGAGCCAAACCTGACAATTCATTGGAATGTACATCATCTTTAACCTTCGGAGGATTTGTGGTGCGATATTTGCTACCAAGCGCAACAACTAGCGCATTATAGGGTTTATCTGTAAATAATGTCAAGCGATAATAGAGTTGTTGACGAACTCTATTATCGCCTTCTTTCTTTTGGTAGCTTAAGCATCGAAGACTATCAAGAAGAGAAATCCAAGGCAGGTATTACACAATCTTCGAGGTAGTACTAGGGCAACTGTTGCCACAACCAAATCAATAAGCCCTTGCGTTTAAAGACATCAGGAAATCACCAATGCTTGAAAACAGCGACCCATCTGAAACTGGACCATCAATTCAATTGCAAAAACGGGATTGCTTAGCTTTCGGCAATCACACTGACATTCAAGATGAAAATAAAAAGGACCAGCACATGTAAATTTAGTCGCCTGGCATTTCCAAGGTTTGTTAGGGGATGCTGCGTGTTGTGCAGTAGGTGCAACATGGCATTCACAGACAATCAATTAAATAGGCTAGCGTCTGGGGTTTCGCTAATCTAATAAAGGTAGCTGTAGCTGCTATCTTTACGAAGAAGACAAATGCAGGTGGCCAGAATGAAACTGTGATGTACGATAACATAGCACACCAATCGGAAGCACGGGCAGGGTTTTCTTAAGGGAACCGGGAGACGGATCAAATCACTCACTAAAATAATGCTCGCAGACTGCTACAGTCATAGTAATTTTAACTGATGAGGCAAAAATAGCAATATTTTAACAGCTCGACTGCAAGCCTGCTCCAGGAGGACTTCGTAGACCTAGGGTTGGATGAGAGCAGAACAGCACAAGGTCGCAACTAACCGGGGAGGTAGTTGAATAACGCTCCACGATTTTAGAGATTAGATTGGGATATTAAGGGGAACAAGCATACCATCAAGGCCATGGACACAAATGACGAGATGAATGCCACTTGGCTTGACAGAGGGAGCGGAGAAGTAGGGGAACGGGACAGCGAGTTGCGAGAAGTCCGAGTAGACGTTGCCCGTGAATTTTGGGATGATTTGCTGCTTGAGGTGCTCTTTCAGCATGACAAACGTCATTGTTCCCGGTGCGAAGGTATTCACCAGACGGTCCGACGCAGAATGCGAAAGACACTCTACTGAGCTGGCCGACGTTCTCTGTTCACGCGCACTATTCAGACGGCGGTTACTTGAGCTTTTGTCACTTGTCTCCTCAGACACGATTGGTTCCAAGTCGGTGAAAAAGTTTTGGGACAGGGAACGCCGCTAAAGAGGCAAAATTATAAATTGCATGTCATAGTACCATCTAATATAACATCCTGCAAGTAAGCAGATGTTAAAAGCATTATCCCGCATTATCATTGCTGTGTTTTGGTTATTACTTGATCTTCCACAGAGCTCTGAGATTCTGATGATTGAGGAGACAGGGTCACCTGTAAGTAAACAAACGAATTTATTTCCCGACAAAAAGCTAGTTAGATCTTAAGGGATATGCAGTTCAGAGAATGGCAAGCTTACATTATATTATAACTACATAACCTATGAAGCACTAATATATCGTGGGGCACGAAAGTACGCCGAACTAATAAAGGTATCCAAAATATGAGGGGTAATGTATTTAGTGGTTCACAATAATGCGTCATACAAACCGCGTTACGGCACTCTCATGGCCTTTTAATAAGAGTATTAACCACCAAATGTTCCAATTAAATGTCACTGGCATTGTTTACCCTGTTAATATACACCTACAGACATGTGAAGTAATTAAAGGTAGATCGTACTGATGGATTTAACTATAATTCAGAGTGCACACCAAGGGCTCGTGGCTGCGAAGGGCCACAGCAAGCCACAGATCCGACTCGTGCCCAGTGCCAGCCGAAGCACAGAGGACATGTTGCTTATCAGTGTGCTTAAACAGGCATCCACTCCGACTAGCCACAAGCGCTGCAGAACGAGGAGTGTGTGACACGGAAAGTGAAGAAAATGAGGTCAAACAACTGAGGTTATTGAACAAATTTAGACGTGAAAACTTGGAGGTGGTACTACCACTACCATTGCTCACCACCAATGGAGGAGTGCAAGCATAGTCAACAAAACAGCAGTGTTCTGCCCAAACAGTCCGCCATTTCCAACGTCGTGAGAGAAAAAGATGAGCCAAATACAACAATAACAACACAACAAGCACCCAATTTGTGTACTTGTCTGGAGGTTAATTTGCAAAGACGGAAACACTCATCGTATGGCCAGTAAGTGGCCACTTAAGAGAACGACGCATAACCCAACGAGCCAAGCTAGTCGATTCACGCGTGCATGTCCGTCTCACCAGATGTGAGCCACATCTGGCCCGGTACGCTTCGAGGGTGAGGAGACAAACTTGTTACTACACAACACAGGAAACTAATAGACGATGTTTACGAGTGATTTCCCCAAGGTGCATATAGTTCTTATATACGACTGTTTGGCTGTAATGATTCTCCGAGTCTGATCTACTGTTGGGCGAACTTGACTGTACGGAAAGTTCAGTTCAGAAATGGAGTGCAGAAAAGAATCGACCTACCGCAATTCTGTCCGTCCCCCTCTGGTGATTATTCGTGACTCGGTGGCTCATGGTAGTTGGCGACGCAGTCTCGCTAGATGACAAACCATTAGATGCCATCGGCGATTCTTCGGCTTCCAGAGGAGCAGAGGATGGTGCCATGGCAACCAAAAGCTTCTGCACGGTCTCCCCCTTTCTTCCGTAGTCGGCAAACTCGTCTTCCAGCGTCAGCATGTCCTCAGACAGAGTAGGCAGGGGTGAAGTGATTCCGTCAGCGCGGAAGGGTGTGTTGGAGGCTCTGGAGGGAACCGTGGGAACCTCGTAGATGGTTTCCTTCTTCGCGAGACCTCCTTTAATGAGCTCCGAGATGGGAGGAGTGGTGGAGGGGAATTCGGCAGGACCACTGTGACGGCTGCAGGCCAGAGAACCCGGGAGCGGCGCCTTGTCGCACTGGCAAGAACAGCTCCGCAGGTCAGACAGGGAACCGAGGTGCACAAGGCTAATGGGGGGGGGGCAAGTGGAACAGCAAATCAGGTGAAAGGTTAATTAAATTGTGGAAGGGAGGACAATAAACGGGGAACTGAATTCTCTCGACGCTTGTTCAGAGGTGATTGAGCTTCTGTGCCAACTACGGCACAGCTTATCAACATTCCGCTGTTATTGCGAGAGTGGCCAGGTCATGCTATGCGCATGACTAGATTCAGTGTGACATGCGTAAACAAATGTCTGAAAGTTGGAGTTTAGAACAAAAACACGATTTCACTGTCAAATTCCTGCCTAGCCGGATTCAAGATATGTGTGAAAATAAAGCCGTTCGAGTTTACGGGTGTGGTATCTCGAATTTCAGAGCTTTTAGCCAATTTCACGCCAAAATGGGAAAGCATCTAGGTTTGTAGAGTAAATATATGGTGAAGTTGCCTCGCTTTAATCGACTTCCTGCAGTTAGTTACGTTCAGCAACAAAACAGACCATGCAACAGACGAAGAACCTGCCAAATTTGTAGGGACTATGGTGGAGGACCACTAGAGTGAAAGTAACGCCATTGGTAGCTGAGTCAGAACATAGTGCGGTACTGTACGTCATTCTACCCACCCCAAGTAAGATCACGTCATCATGAATTTCAATCGCTTAATCACACAACAGGCATGTCGCCAGTAAGTTTATCTGGAGTAGAAACGAAGAAGACACCGTTTTGGCTAAAAACTGGGAGCAGCTGAAACGCCGACCCGTGTTGAGAGGCTAAATTGAAACAGGCTTTAACAGCGCACCGATTTTGAACAAACATAAGTTTTACGTAGTCCGAACTTCCTAGCATGACCTTGTGTTTAAAGTGCCCCAAGTCACCAGAACACAAAAGCCACACTCACAAAACTCCAGTCAAGACATCGAGCCCGTCAATTACGGCGGTAGTGATAAAAGTACGGTGTCGTGACCCGGTTACGGGTGATGTGTGCTGTAACGGATAAAAACTGCACACGCTAGCACAAACAAGCAAAAGGAGGGCAAGAAAGGACACTGTAAAGATTAGAAAAGGGGGAGGCCTCTACGGCTGATAAAGAAAACTTTGTCCTCATGACGTTGGCACAGACTACGACCATGCGATCATTTTACACCACTGGTTCACTACAAAAGGAAAGGCCATCACATCTACGTACCAAATCACATCAGTGGGCTTACAACACAACTGGTAATTCGCAATTGACAAGCCGCAGGAAGATGGGAATTACGAGTAATACGGGGAGGGAACACACCGAGCACCTTTTGTGGAACCCGAAAATAATACATAAAACATGAAAATGAAGGATAAGAAAACAGCCAACTTACTCTTCCGTGTAAATGTGCGGCGATTGAGTTTGGTGAGCTCTAAAATGGTGCAGATGGCAACAATTTCACAATGCTGTTAACGTGTGCATAGGATAGAGTCGGGTGGGATTAACAATCCCCATGAACGGCTTGGGAACCAAAAATGAGTAATTTTCTGGTGCTTTAACGGGCGTGACTTCAAGGTGGCAAAGGGCTGTGCACAGTTTGCACTAAAATTGAATATTCCACTGTAAAACCTGTGGTACTTCAGGGGTGTGAGAGATTAGTTCCTTAGGAATCACCACCACCACCACCACCACCACCACCACCACCACCACCACCACCACCACCACCACCACCACCACCACCACCACC